ACACAGTCAACTCTCAGCATTAATTTTGTAATAGACAATAACTAACTGACTAACCTTTACATAAAAACAAAAATTTGAAACACTTTTACTCATACATTAAACTTTTTCTAGAAATTTTAACAGGGACGAATGTTGTGCAAAATATTTGGGCAAGCTGACTTTATACTACAAACAATAGGCCTACTCTAGCACTTAACAATAAACAAAAACGTAATTTGGTGTGAATAAAAAATATTAACTATTATAGAGCAAATTATATCAACACAAACACTCACTTACTTTATAAATATAAAATTGAGGTACGTGAAATAATATAAAGTTTACTTGCAAATGTGTTAGAGTGTTGTTGATTGAAGGGAATCATCCCAACAAGCTTTCATTTAAAGGTAAAGTCTTCTCCTCTTTTGGATCAATCAAAAACATTTAACTGAAGCATCTGTTTCATAGCTTATCATATTTGAAAAAACCATTATCTATATCAATAATCTTATTGTTTTTAGTTTTAATTGCTATATTTATTGTCTATAGAATGTGTTCTTGGTATGTGTTTTGATATATCTAGAACGAATTGATTAGATTCTGATTGATTCATACGAAAAGATTTGTCACGGTTTTTGTTGGTTTCGACTAAAACCGAGTTATTACTGTATTGGTGTTTAATTAAGTAGCTTACGGTTTTTTTAATAATAAGAAATAATTTCAGTCGGAATTTTTGTCTTTTTAAGCTAAGAAATAAGCACAATACGTCAATGTGACAAAACAATTCCTAGATTTTACATTATTGTGGTGCATTCTTGCTTTTTCGTCTTTTCAAAATTTATAAAGTGAATTTAGAATTTTAATTACTTATTTTTTAAATGCAATCAGAAAAGGTAAGTAAAACTTGTAATGTGTTTTGTTACGCGTTATTTTTAATTAATAGACGACACTTGTCATTCGAAATTGTAAAAAATAAAAAATGTAAAATTTTACTTTTTATCGAAAAATACAAAAACTGTATTTTACTATTATATTTTGATATAAAGAAATAATATTTCTGAAAATATTAATGACGAACCTAATAATCTGAAATGCTTTACACAACGAATATTTTTTTAAGGATGAAAAAAAGAAACTTGAATGCCCTGAATGCAACCAAATATTTCTATGGAAATCGCAGTTAGATGTGCACTTGAGAAGCCATACTGGTGAGAGACCGTTTCGATGCGATATTTGCGGTAAAAAATTCTCCCAGTCTTGGAATTTAGCAATTCACAAAAGAATACATTCGGAAGAACGACCTTTCAAGTGCAACTGTGGATACGCTACAAAAAGGAAATTTGATCTGTTATCACATGTCAAACGATTACATCCACATGCAATCGCTTCTGACATTATTACTGTAAGAATTATGTTTATGTTTATTTTTGCATTTAAGTGCATAAATATTTTACGAAATAAAATATAACAAATTTATTAACTTAAAGTATAAAATATAATATTATGATGGACTATATAACTCATTTAATTATAAATTAAAACATAAATTAAAGTGAAAGATTAAAATATATACTTGTTATATCTGTACCGTAAAAATCGTAAATATTAATTACAAAATAATTTCTTCAACAATAAGCAATTATAATGCGTACAAAATAAAACGAATTTACTAAATATATTAAAATTTAACTTTAATTTTAAAATACTAATATTTCAATTTTGTTTTTTAGTAAGTAATAAACAGCAAATAGTGATTTATAAATCATTTGATACTTAGATTCCCCGGAAAAAATCGAAAGAAAACCATAAATGTGACGAATGCGGTAAAAGTTTTCCATGGTTATCCACTTTAACAAGACATCTAATATCTCATGGGAAAAGTCGACCGTTTTCATGTGATATTTGTAAGAAAACTTTCAAACATAACTTTGACTTAAAAAGACACATGAATATGGCACATCCACAGGAACAAACCGCATCTTGTTCCAACGTACGTAAAGAAATTTTGTGAAATTAATCATTTAAAATTTACTTGAATATTATAATGTAAGGATACTTATTTAGCTTGTAAAAGATTTTTATAATCCCTTATCAGATTTTTTCGAGGTGACTTGTTTACATGATTACTGTAAATAATTTGGTTATGTAACCTTTATTTATTTAATAAATAACACAGCATTGTTCACGTAAAGTCAAGTATTAACACAAAATAAAAACTGATAATTTGCATCAGTCTTTCTGTACCTCTATATACGGTAATTTCAAAATAATACGATTTAATTATAGATTTCTAATTCGAAATGATTTATGGTATATCTGACGATTTTTATTTACTGTTGTCATTATCTGTATTTCTTTTCTAAGCAGCAAAATTGTTTTCGGTAAAATCGAAACGATAAAACTTTTTCTCTGTGAATTTCAATAAACTACACCACTAGTAAAATTACTAAGGGAAAATCTACCATCGTAAATTATTTGGAATGAATTTAATCATTATAATTGTTTCAAAATTATTTTTCCTATACATTTCCATCAGAAACAATTTACGTTTAATTAATGAACTTTCTCAATTTTATTACTCGATTGCTTATTGTTTTTTTTTTTTGTTTTTTCTTGATTCTCCGGAATTAAGCACAAAATTGCTACAGAGAAGTTATCATACACGAACAATTTGCAGGATGGAAAAAGTAGATTTTATTTTTATACAGTATATTATAAAAGAAATGCATTTCGTATTACATGCTGCTAATTAGTTTTAATTTCTTGTTAAATCTACATAAGATATTACAGAACAAATTAATACTTATATATATTTTACACAGGCGTAAAATTCATAAAACGCTTAAGAAAGAATTACCTATAGTATAACTAATGGTAACTAATAATGTAAGGTAAAACTGGATAACGAAAATTAATAAATAAATATAATAACTTGAATAAAAGCTAATAAAAAAAATTAATTGGCAGTCCGGTGCCAGGTGATTTTGTACCCTGTGCAAAGATTATAACTTTGCCTGTTATCTTACAAATTAGATATTTTAAAAAATGAAATTTAAGTATAATAAATAAACATAACAAATATTTTGCGCACTATTAAAAGTTTATAAATTTCGGAACGCTTTATTATTCATATACAAAGTAATATACAATCTGTAATTTTTCTATAAACAGAGGCATTTTTAACATTTTTTTAAAACCCATAATTAGACGCGATAGCAATCTATTATAGTGTTTGACATGCGGGGAACAGTCGTTCTCTGTATTCATAGATCAATTTTGAAAAACGATTCTTTTATTGCGGGTTTTGTGATTTTAGCTGAGTAATATATTTTGTTTCATAAAAAAGTTACTCAAAATATATCATTTTATGTATTTTTTAAACGAAAACAAAAAAATAGTAATTTTCAGGAATTTTAATTAAGGAATCGTGAAATTAGAAGTTTTTTTTTACAAACTGTAAAAAGTCTGTTGCTATCTAAGATTCGCTTTTTTGCATGTGTCAGTTAACTGTGTCAACCAAAAAATGTTTTCTTACCACTCCGGTTCATAAATATTTTAGGAAACACTGTCCTCTACCATTGTAAAGCAATTAGCGGTAAATGGATAGTATGGAGATGGTAAAATATCAGCTCCGATTCTCTTTGCTTGCGTTTAGATAAAAGTAAAATAAAAAGTATTAAATGCAACAAAATATATATAATGCAACAAAATCTGTATAAAAGGATCGATGTAGAAAAATAAAAACACAATACAAATACTGTAGATGAGTCAACACCAACGTCATATGACGTCACATAAATCGTACTGAGCAAATGCAAATTTAATATGCCTCTAACTGCCTCGATTAGTCGCGTAGTGACTATTGTTTCCCAGCGAACTTTGCGCTCGCTTTCTGTAAGAATAAATTTCGTACAACCTTGAAATTTTTAGTGCAATCTTTATACACTTCAAGGTAGTTAAAAATTATTTCCCGGGTTTGAGCAGACCAAAAAATACACGGATCTAAACATGCTGAGGAACTATTGTTCCCCGTGCGCCTGAGAGAAAATTCTTTTTAATATATAAAGATTATCGTGTAAACTATATTCCTTCATACAGAAATCTAAAATACTNATGCGGCTCTTTGAAGGATTATTTGTGGCTCTCGATAAATGTACCCGAGTTCCCTTTTCATTTTTGTGTTATTATATTTTAAAAAATTATTATCGTTCCGTATGTGTTTCAAAATGTGTTTTAAATTACTAACAACAAATATGAAAGACTAAGTGAAACGTTGTAACAAATTTCATTTCCGTCCAAGTTAAGAATGATATGACTCATCGAAAACTGCGCGAACGAACATAAACAGTGGCGTAATCGTCCGACTTCAGACCGATTTTGAATATGTAAACTGTCATTGCAACGGACAATTGACATTGTGCTCTGGAGGAAACAATTTGTATCACTCTTGCTACGGATATAATTTGTAATCTAGAATTTTTTGCATACCTTTTTAATACGTATTTAATTGCGGCTCGTGAAAATTTTCAAATTTTGAAAAATGGCTCAGACTATCAAGGAGCTTGGTCACTCTGGTTATATTATATTCAGTTTTCAATTATTAGGCAACCGTTGAATATATTCAAGATGTAGAATATGACATTATACACAAAGAGCAGAAAGAATCGATGGAAAAACCATCAACGAGTGGTCAAAAATATCAATCAGTAAAATATGAAGAAGCTGTCGTGGAAACCCTTAGTAGCGATTCAGAAAATACCGGAATTATGAATAGAGACGAATATTTAAACATGAACGAATTGGAACGTTTACCAGAATTGGAAATATTTTCAAAAGTGATAGTTGAAGGATTCGAACTAGAATGTCACATCTGTCAAAAGAAATTTGACGACGAAGTATCTCGTAGAGAACACGAAGCAAAATTTCATTAATTTGCAAAGCATACAATTTGGTAACGCAGTTACTAAACGACTTAAATCTTTCATTCATTTTTCATTTATTATAAAAATATTTTTAATTTTTTGCATGCAGAAAATCGGATTAGTAATTATGTTTTGTAAATCTCTTTACTTTTGAAATGAAAAGAAAATATGAAAAAATTTGTGTTCAACTCATTCATTTTACTCAAGTCAGCAATTTATTAGAAATGCATTTATTATTTTAATATAAAAGCGAGGTTAAAATTTCGATAAAACATTGTTTTTATTATATATTCTATTCATAGTGTTTTGTTCTTCAAATTGTCTTTACTTATATTTACTGTTGACTGAATTAACGTAAATAGTTCCTTTTATTTATGTTTCTACTGTGTTTAAATTACTAAACACTTCCATTCTCTTTCCACAGAAAAAGAGAATAAAAACATTTCGAAATGTATAAAATTGATTTAATAGTCTGTAATTACTGATAACAAGTACAAAAACGTTGAATTATCGGCCAGTTAATTTTGGAAGTTATATTAAGTTTTATATAAGAAAAGCTTACTGTTGCATTATTTCATACAACCCCCTTTATAACATTTTTTTATCCCAATGTTATTCAAACAAGAAACAGTTGCAAAGAATGTAGGACAAGCTAAAAATTCTGACTGTTTGGATGACAGTCAAATTGTTTTTACAAGTTTTTCTTTGGTAAAGATAATCTTGGCACTTGAAAACGATATGCAGATTAGTGTATTCATGTTTAAATCAAATTTTGACTATACAAATAATTTTGGTTTTGCGCAAAAAAAAAAAATTTAATAATCCAGCTAGAGACAGATGGTTAACAAATTAAAAACCGACAGAATGATATTACAAAATAGATACAATATACAATTGATGCTGACCTTTTCGTGGAGGATCTGACTTCTACAACACGGCATTAAAAATTCTTCACACTATCCCTCATGTATATATCAGTTTAAACACATCTGCAGATCTCTTGTGGAATATTAGCATAGCGACACGAATTACAACGTTCCACGGAAAATTTTTTTGTATTCATGTTTTTAGAATTTCGAAGTTTCAAGTTTATCTTCACAAAAGGAAAACTCCTGTATGTTCCTTCAGTTTCACGTATGCTACTAAACTGAAGGACATGCTGACAGACGACTAAAAAGATTCGCCAAAGTGACGTTTAATTCTGTCAACTATCACTAACAATAAATATGAACAAAAAGGATTAGTCAAAAAGTTCAGTTCTGTGGATTATGTACTAAAGGTTATTAACATTAAAGAAGAATGAACTGTGCTACACGTCTATTCCACTTTTTTCTTTACATCTCTGAAAATCTCCTGGAATTGTATTTTATGAAATTTGAGGGATCTTCAAATTCAAAAAACCTGGTCGTGAAAGTCAAACGCTGTTATAAATAAGTCTTGTGTATATCAACTAAAGTTAAGTCTTGGGCTTAGTATTTGAGGCAATCCTATATATATCGTATGGCTCCCGCTTGTGGTAATATGCACCTAAGGATGGCATTTATGTTTTTAAGTTGACTGAGGAGGGGTAAATGAGGCCCGAAACGTGTGTAAACGCGTATCAACGAAAAGTGAAATAAAGAAGAGAATAGTGCCAAGTGATCGTTATTACGCTACATTGCGATTATAGAAGAAATTATTTAAAATTTAAATTTACTTCTTTTGATATATGAGGGAATAACAGTTTAGTTCCTCCCAAGGCAATAGCTGAGTGCGATGTCTTACCCAACAACCCGGAAAATCACCAGATGTCAGAAGACAGACATGATGTTCCAATGGTGCTGTTGGACGAAAATTTGTATAAAAGGTTAAAGGTCAGCTTTCAACATCGCTCTTGTTCAACGTTTGCACTGAGCACACAGTGTCAGATATTTTGCCACTGCTCTTGTATTGTCGCTTTCGCAGAGTGCCTGAAAATTTAGACATTTTTTCTGTAATTCTCCAACTTATATGTGTTTCGACGAATTCTGAAATTTCCATTTCAGTCGTATGTGAATGTCAGGTAACACGTTATTTAATTTTTTGTAAATCAGCGGCCAGATTAGTTATCTCAACTGGTGTGAGGATCATTATACAGAAAGATTTCACGGATTTTTCTCTTATTTCATCTCATTTACTATCCTGTATGTAAAAAAATGGGTTAATCGGAATTCTCATTCTCACATAAGCATTTCAAAGCTCATAATTGACAAAAAACGTTAATATATTCATTTTAATATACGCACCACATTTTAACAATTTCTCGGTGGCTATAATAACCTGATGGAAAAATTGTTGTTTGATGTTCGAATTATGAGACAAATTAGAAGAGTTAAACAGATTAAACCTTCTGAAAAGTTTAATATTTTCATGTTTTTTGTAACATCTCTTGTGAAAAGCATATTCTTTAGTAAAAACGAATTATAGGAAATTACGTATAATAGCATACATTTCGAAATAATTACTAAGATTAAATTAATAAATAACACCTGTATGTAAAAATTGTTCTAAACACGATTGTATGTAATATATAACGAAAAGATTTTCTCACATAAAACTTAATATAACTTCTGAAATAAGGTGAGCTAATTCAACATTGTTGTATTTTTTCAGCAATTCGAGTTGTTTGTCGTTATTTTAAAGTAATTTTATATACTTTCAATCGTTTTTATTCTCTTTTTCTGTTGGACTAGTATGAAAGTGTTTCAAAATGTAAATACGATACAATCGTAAAAGACAGTAACTATTTACACTAATTCGGTCAAAAGTAAATACAGCTACAGATAATTTGAAAAACAGAAAACTATGATTGGAAAATATAATAATAAAAAATATGTTTAATCAAAATTTCAACCTCACTTTTATACTCTTTATACACTTTTAACAATAAATGTAGTTTTAATAAATTGCTGACTTGAATAAAATGAATGAGTAGAACACAAATTTATTCATATTTTCTTTTAATTTTAATTTTAAAAATAAAGAGGTTTACAAAACATAATTACTTGTTCGATTTTCTGCATGCAAAAAATTAAAATATTTTTATAATAAATGAAAAATAAATGCAAGATTTAAATCGTTTTGTAAAATCGTTACCAAATCGTTTCTTTTGCAAATTAATATTTAGAAGTGATTAATTAAATTAATGAAATCTTGCTTCGTGTTCTCTACGAGATATTTCGTTGTCAAATTTCTCTTGACAGATGTGACATTCTAGTTCGAATCCTTCAACTATCACTTCTGAAAATACTTCCAATTCTGGTAAATGTTCCAGTTCGTTCATGTTTAAATATTCGTCTCTATTCATAATTCCAGTATTTTCTGTACCGATACCGACCACAACAGCTTCTACATATTCTACTGAGTGAGATTTTTGACCACTCGTCGATGGTTTTTCTATTGATTCTTTCTGATCTTTATCTACTACGTCACATTCTACATCTTGAGTATATTTAACGTTTGTCTAAGAATTCAAAAAATATATATAATATAATATAATTCAGTTAATTAAACTAAAATGACTATCACTATAAATTCAAATCATAATTAGAGTCAACAACATCATTCAAAACATTTATTTTCTGAAGATAAATTTATAGAATGGAATTTATAATTTATTTTTTAATTTACTGTTGTAATTAATGAAATTGAGCACTTTTACATAGTAAATTATTGTAATTTTCTGTTTGATGGAATAAAGTTTAACACGATAATCTTTATATACAATACTAGCTGTTACCCGCAACTTTGCAGAGATTTTGCAAGCAAATTTGAACAATTTTCTGGACTATTATTCTATAATGGAACCAATATGCAATAAAAAATTACGAATTTAAACGGTTCGAATTTAAACGAATTTAATTAAAAATCGTAATATATCAAAATATTCATAACAATGTTTGAAATGTTATCAATTTAATACACTCAAAGACTAAACGTAGTTGAAAACAAACAATCGCATCTAAAATAGTACAGTAGAAGCTGTTCTTCAAGTTAAGATTTAACCCTCTCCTTCTCCCCTCGCAAAGGGATTTCCAAAAATCCCTTCTTAGTGTGCATTCTCATGGCGCGGGCACAGCTTATTTTATATGTTTAGATTAGTATGAATTCACTCTCGGTTAGGCGCACAGGGAACAACAGTTTCTCAGCCTTGTTTAAAAAAGGGTATTTTTTGGTCTACTCAATGCCGAAAAATAATGTTTATTTTCCTTCAAGTGACTGAAGATTGGACCAAAAAAATCCAAAGTTGTACGAAATTTATTTTTTATACGAAGCGAGAGCAAAGTTTGCTAAGAAACAGATGGATTTTGCATTCCATACAGTACACTCTAGCTCATACACTTTTACATCCTTTTATTTGGCAACGGTGATTTTGCCATCGGCACTGATTTCTGGGGCGCCTTTTGCTCCACTCTTGTGTTGTACTTCGCTGGGATGTGGAGTTCGAGTATTATTCTTTTTTCTTATTACGTGTACTAACTGAATGTAATAGTTTCTGACATTTTTTCTTTGGATCCCAAATAATGAAGTCTGTTTTTCTCCCTTTTTTTTATTACTCTGCTATCTCTTCTGTAGGCTATCCATCCAATAGCACATGCAAAATCAAAGTTTGCGTAACGAGTTGAGACCTGCGCAGTACGATTTTTGCAGATGTGTGATGTCATATGACGTTTGCTTTCGTATTGTTTATTTTATTTGTTTCCATCGATCGATTAGATTGTTGAATATTTTGTTGCATTTAGTAATTTTTATTTTATTTTTATCTATTATTTTATTTTAAGCACATTTGATCTAATATTATAACATAAATTAACAATAATATTCAAACGTTTTATTTTTTGAAAAAAATCGCTATGAAAAATAAAAATGATAAGTTTTATACGCTAATTTTATAATGTCCTGTGATGTTTTATTTTGTATGAAACAAAGTGCACCTCTCAGGATTCTCGGGGTGTAAAGTTACAGCCTTGTTTATTATAATGCTTCTTCTTACCTGAATAACTGCAGAAATGGTGTTGCTACAGTAATGTAGGTCAAAGTTCTTAAACATATTTTTCTGCTTTAAATAGTGCATATCAGACACTACATATTATTCAACGATTTTTTACAATAATAAGACTGTAATAAGCGATTATTATTATATTATATGAACGATGATATGACTATTTGTTATGTATTACGGAAGTATCACAGTAACCAGATGTAATAAGTTTTCCGGTAAATTTCTCGACTGGGAGCTATCTTGATAAGATATCTTCGAGACTAAGTAAAGTCAAATGACATGATATCTAATAAAATTACAGCTGAATATGATGAAAATAATTTTTCTCGTCGTTTGTTTACGTTTTCACTCCTACCACGTGATGATGAAAAACATTGGTTCATGGCCAGAAAATCCTGAACCGACAGAACTGAAAGAATGCTCATTGATTGATAGTGTTTCAGTCATACTCACAGACAGAAAAAGCCTCTGTCGTCATTGTCCCCTCTTGTTTAATTAAAATGGGTCTCTCCTCGGTTTTTCCCATGAAACTACCCGGAGTTTTAGTACTTCGGGCCCAATTCGTTTCACTCGTTACTTCCCAGTGACGCACATGAGGTGTCACATTAAACAAGGAACTAAGTCTGTAAAAAACTTTTTAATCGCTGTGTTGATCAATAACTTTTTCGAAATAAAACATTATCTTGTTCCCGAATAACAAAATGTTATAATAATTTATAATAATTTTATAATAAAGTTTTCCCGAAAATCCGTTCTTCACACTATTGAAGCTATCAGCAAATAATCTGCCTTTTTACCTGTAATTCCAGTAGAATGTTAGGTGACGTGTTTACTGAAATATTTTTGGCCTATAGTCTATTTATCCTAACTTGGCACCTACTGTAAACAAACTAAGACACACGACCCATTATTTATTGGCTTAAACCGACGTCCATCAATTAGAAACCGCGTTGCATCTCATTCGTCCGCAGAAAATAGTTCTTTGTTATTTATAAAATCATTAAAGAAATACTAGTCACTTAGCAATGATTATAAATGTAATTATTTCGTACTTGTTAAATTGTTATTTTGATGAATATTTGCACATTCTGAATAACTAAAAATAAACTTTTTCCGGTAAGGCGCACTATAATGTCTTGGTTTCGTTTTCCATTCATTATAATAACTATCATTATTTCAAGCTGTGTGTTGTCGAACAAATAATGGAAGAAAGATGGAGAAAATGTATCGAACATATAGAAAAAGAAAAACAACGAATGTGGGAACTTGATGAAATTTCGGAAACTGTTGTAGAAAAACTGATTATGTAGTCGAACACAAGTAGTGACAAAAGCGATATAAATGATTAATTTGAGCAACTATCTTCTGATACAGATGATAAGCACGTTTCTAAATACAGATTAATAACGTAAATTTACACTAATTATTTTTAAAAAAATTTAATTATATTAAATATCACATAGATAAATTCACACATTACCGTAACATTTTCTTTTAGAGGTTTGAGTATGATTTTTAAGGATTGCCAGAGAATTTGTTTTTTGTTTTGTTTTATATCTATTTAATAAAATAGTTGTGTAGATAAAAATTCTAAAGTACATTCAACTACACAGTTATAAATATACTAGCAGATGAGCCCGGCATTGCTCAAACAAAAACAATAGCAAAGATTAAGATAATTAGATTATAGCCAATCTTACCCGTTTTCACCAAGTGCAAAAATTAGGTCCCCCTTTTCCGAGACTAATTAGAAAATTTTTAGATATCTGCTTACCACACTGGGATAACAATAACTAAGATTCACAGCAACCACTAACCAGTGCATAGTACCACTAAGTAATAAATAACAAACATTTTTGTAACCCCTTCTGGGTTCTTTTTCTAGTTTACTAAATTCGAAAAATAAGTTGGATCTTCTCAAATCATTCATAAATATAAATTCAAATATTACGACTAAGAGTTTGAATAAAGCAAACTTATGTGCATGTGTTCCCTGTGTTAACTTTATATAGAACTAGTGGAACTGAGTTGAGTGCCACCTGTACGCAGACAAAGAAAACCGCTTTGGAAAAACATGTGCATCTTTGGGTTAAATGCGTATCGAAACGCAGTGCTTGTTTTCTTCCTGTGATGATAAACCACAGCTTTATGCCACACAAAATTCAAAAAATAACTGTTGTGTAATCAGTTGTAGTGTTACTTATATTACTGTGCTGGCAGGAACAAAGTTTTATTCGTTCCCGAACAAACAATACCCTGGCAAAAAAGCATTAAATACATTATATTATTGTGCGTTCCACTAAAGTACTCGATTATGTGTTGCTTTATAAATTTATTGTGTTCAAATTGCTAGCAAATTATTTAAATATGTATAGATTATATAAAACAACTTCAAAAAACCAAAATTACATCATCAATTTTTTTTAATCTGATTACATGACACAATTGGAATCGCTTTGTATCGATTACCTGTTTCTAATTGTAAATGCGTGTCATTCATTCTCATACTGATAACTATGCAAATATTGAAAGAAAAAAGAAATACCTTAATTTCAACACAGAGTTTTTTGTAAACAACTTCTCCAGTGATGATAGTTGAACCTTGATTCACATTTGGACCTGTATTCTTGTCNCGCTTTACAGCGAACCCTCTGAAACCCGTTTCTAAATGCAGCGCTGCAATGTAGCGAACCGTTTCTAAACGTTTGCTGCAAGAGGTCGCTGCAGCGAAGATAAAGCAGCTTTTACGTCCGCTACACGTGTAAAGCAAAATGGACGCTTGTGTGTATAATACGATATTATGCTGTAAAAATAAAAAAGTCGAAGTGACTGTTGATAACAATATTATGAAAAGATTAAGAAGGATGAAATTTTATAAAATAACTCTGAAACATGTCTAAAGAATAAGAAAACACTATATTTTAGATATAATTATATATCTTCTATGTCTACTTTATTCACATTTATGGAAAGATAAATGCTCAATTCTTTGTATTTCTTTATTTTAATATTGTAGTTCTTTAACTAAAGCACTACTTTCGGCTGTAACTGGAATTAAAGGATAGAATATAGCATCCATGTTTCGCTCGAGCGGAAAGGGTTTCTAAACTATGATGCAGCGACGTGTAGCGATAGCTGTTCGTGATGTCATTTTCGCTTCACTCTCGCTGCATAAAGAAACGCGGCCATAGCTACAGACTTAATTTCATTTTGTACAAAAAGCTTCGAAATTTGATTTTTTTTTTAATTAAAATTTGTGAAAATTAATGCGTTTTTGTTTTTGTTATAAAATAAATAAAAATGACATATTTCGAGTAGCATTTTTTCCAAGGGCTTTCTTCCTAGCCAAGGGTTTAAAAAAAACTTAAAAAGGCACTTTTTATACAAAAATTAGTGATAGTATATAGCGGGATGCACACATGCGGCGCGGCAAAGAAAACCGGCAGGATGACGTCACTTTTTCTCCCCGCAGAAGTCGATTTTGTGCCGCTTTTCTCGTGCCGCAAAAGTTGGTTGAATTTAATCTTTTGCGGCAACCGCCGCCAAGACACGTTTCTATCAGACAATAACAATTCGTCCGATAGTCACGTGAGAAAATACAATCACGTGGTGTTTTAATGTCGGAAAGTTCGATGCGGTTAACCGAGATAACTAACATCCGAATAAAAAGGAAAGATAATAAATTTAACACAAATTCTACACAAATAATCACATATAATTTAATTCAAAGAACAAAACAACCGAATCTTACTCGAAATAGTATTCTTTATCGAGGAATAAGCATATTTTGTACACCAGTTCTTTATTGAACCAAGAAAATATCTCTAATCCAAAATCTTCGTTCGAATCTTCTAACTAAATAAAGCGAGCCGTACAAAACAAAATTTGTAAACACGTGGATAGCGACAATATCGGTATCGTTCGCCATCTTGAATACTGAANTAAATACAGATTAATAACGTAAATTTACACTAATTATTTTTAAAAAAATTTAATTATATTAAATATCACATAGATAAATTCACACATTACCGTAACATTTTCTTTTAGAGGTTTGAGTATGATTTTTAAGGATTGCCAGAGAATTTGTTTTTTGTTTTGTTTTATATCTATTTAATAAAATAGTTGTGTAGATAAAAATTCTAAAGTCTGTTCAACTACACAATTATAAATATGTTTTGTGTAAGTCTTAATAATATAGACCAGGGGTCGACAGTTTGTCAAGTGAAAAGAGCCAAATTATCATAAAAACAGGATAACAAAAGTACCAGAGAGCCGCATATTAATTTAAATGTGCGAAATACGACACACGACAGGGGCGCCTCTAGCGGACGTTTTTGGCATAACGTTACACGGATGGACGGACGCGCGTTCAATGTGTTATATATATAGATATGCTTCAAATGCTCACACTCTTATGCGACACACATTGATCAACGCGAGTGTTGTCATGTGCGAAAGTCGTACGAGTCGAAGTTTGTTCGGCGGCTCAATCTCATAACATAAACTCATAAGTTATAAGGCTGCGGTGAAATTGGAATTTATGTCCGAAGAGCCGCAAACGTCTATGCAAAGAGCCGCTATTTCCGACCCCTGATATAGACTACATTTAATAATAATTTTTGACAAACTATATTTAAACGATGGAAATAATTTAAACGGCTACGTAAAAATGTTAAAGTAGGCTATAATAAGTTTTCCAAGTATTATCTCGGTAATTTTTAAATTGTGACCACTCTGACCTATTTTAACACGTGCAGAAAAAGAGGCTTAACTGGTCATTACTTGTCTAGCGACTTCCGATTGTGATTTGACCAATGAAAATCTCCGGCGGATTAATACGACAAAATCTTTGTTTACAGTAGTTACGATAAATAAACAATAGGGTTTGTGAAAATACACTTATTGGCTTAAACAAAGTCAACCCACTTAAAGGAAAGCTTAGATTTCACGATCCACTTATCGCTAATTGCTTTACAATATTAGGGAACGGACTTTCCCGAAATATTTAATGCCAGGGGTGGTGACAAAATAATTATTATTTGAGACAGTTAGAATGAAACATACGTGAAAGCAAATAAGAGTTTAGATAGGCCGCGTTTCTTTATGCAGCACTCGAGAAGCGCTTTACAGCGAACACTCTGAAACCCGATTGTAAATGCAGCGCTGCAATGTACCGAACTGTTTCTAAACGTTTGCTGCAAGAGGTCGCTGCAGCCATGATAAAGTAGCTTTTACGTCCGCTACACGTGTAAAGCAAAATGGACGCTTGTGTGTATAATACGATATTATGCTGTAAAAATAAAAAAGTCGAAGTGACTGTTGATAACAATATTATGAAAAGATTAAGAAGGATGAAATTTTATAAAATAACTCTGAAACATGTCTAAAGAATAAGAAAACACTATATTTTAGATATAATTATATATCTTCTATGTCTACTTTATTCACATTTATGGAAAGATAAATGCTCAATTCTTTGTATTTCTTTATTTTAATATTGTAGTTCTTTAACTAAAGCACTACTTTCGGCTGTAACTGGAATTAAAGGATAGAATATAGCATCCATGTTTCGCTCGAGCGGAAAGGGTTTCTAAACTATGATGCAGCGACGTGTAGCGATAGCTGTTCGTGATGTCATTTTCGCTTCACTCTCGCTGCATAAAGAAACGCGGCCATAGCTACAGACTTAATTTCATTTTGTACAAAAAGCTTCGAAATTTGATTTTTTTTTTAATTAAAATTTGTGAAAATTAATGCGTTTTTGTTTTTGTTATAAAATAAATAAAAATGACATATTTCGAGTAGCATTTTTTCCAAGGGCTTTCTTCCTAGCCAAGGGTTTAAAAAAAACTTAAAAAGGCACTTTTTATACAAAAATTAGTGATAGTATATAGCGGGATGCACACATGCGGCGCGGCAAAGAAAACCGGCAGGATGACGTCACTTTTTCTCCCCGCAGAAGTCGATTTTGTGCCGCTTTTCTCGTGCCGCAAAAGTTGGTTGAATTTAATCTTTTGCGGCAACCGCCGCCAAGACACGTTTCTATCAGACAATAACAATTCGTCCGATAGTCACGTGAGAAAATACAATCACGTGGTGTTTTAATGTCGGAAAGTTCGATGCGGTTAACCGAGATAACTAACATCCGAATAAAAAGGAAAGATAATAAATTTAACACAAATTCTACACAAATAATCACATATAATTTAATTCAAAGAACAAAACAACCGAATCTTACTCGAAATAGTATTCTTTATCGAGGAATAAGCATATTTTGTACACCAGTTCTTTATTGAACCAAGAAAATATCTCTAATCCAAAATCTTCGTTCGAATCTTCTAACTAAATAAAGCGAGCCGTACAAAACAAAATTTGTAAACACGTGGATAGCGACAATATCGGTATCGTTCGCCATCTTAAATACTGAACGCAAGCGCCGAAATAAAAGCGGATTGCCGCTTGTGTGCCTGTGCTGCCGCGCGGCGAAGATGCATTTGCAACACCGCTTTTCCTTGCCGGCCGCATGTGTGCATCCAACTTATTACCACCATGGGCAGATGAGGCCATTTTTGAGTTACATGCGGCTCTTCCATAAAGTGTTAATTTCTGCTTTTTATTATTATTTTTACAAGTTTATTTCCACAAATTTGTGAAAATATATTTATAAAATAAATTTAATATTTTTTTATATTATATTTATATTATATAACAATATCGCGGTACAGAACTGCGATACAGAATTAAAAAGTACAGAACTGTGGCTCCCATGCATTTTGCAAAACCTACATTTCGGCTGCCGCTGACCTCTTGCTTGCCCACCCTTGGTATATTTCGTTGTATATTAATAATAAAGCATGACAAAATCTGTAAACTTTTCATAGTGTTCAAAATCACCTCGCACTAAGCTGCGTATTTACTATTTTTTATTTGTATTTATTTATTTATTCGTATTTCTTTCTCTAGTTTTACCTTACGTTATTAGTTACCATTACTTATACTATAGAAAATTTTTTAAAGCTTTTTGTGAGTTTCACGCGTATGTAAAATATAAATAAGTATTAATATTGAATGTATTCAGTGATATCTTAAGTAGAGATACCATAAAATTAAAACTGAATAGCAGCATGTAATTCCAAAATGCATTTTCTTTTATAATATGTTAACAATCAAATCTACTTTTTCTATCTTACAAAGTGTTCTTGTATCATAAGTTATCCGTAACAATTTTGTTCTTAATTGCAAATAACAAATAACAAACAAAAGAACAATAACCAATCAACTGATAACGATCAAAAAATTTCACTAAATAAACAGAAATTGTTTTTGTAAAAAAAAACTTATGTTGAAAAAATATATTTCAAAACAATTATGACGATAAAGCTTATTACAAATAATTATAATAAGTAAATTTAAGGCTTATGGCTGCTGATTATCAAATGACTAAAAGAACTAACTTACAATAATTACGTTTTGTTTTCTATTTATACTTCTGTTTAAATAAACGACGTAGTGTTATTTTATAAATGAACTTTACAGAATAAAAGTATTTACACGTAATAATGTCACCTAAAAGAATCTGAGTAGCAATTTTAAAAGATCTTTCAGAAACTAGTTTTTTTACATTATAACATTCAAGTAATTTTTGAAAGATTAATTTCAGAAATTTTCTTTACTTACTTTGGTAGAAGATGCGGCTTGTCCCTGTTGATGTACTTTTTTCATGTGTTTTTTTAAGTCATGTTTATATTTGAAACTTTTTCCACAAAAATCGCATGAAAACAGGCGATATTCCTCGTGAACTGTTAGATGTATTGTTAACTTGGATAAGCAAGAAAAACTTTTATCGCATTTTTGACATTTATGAACTTTCTCTGCTTCTTTTGGTGGAATCTAAGTGTAATGTAATTTATAAGTTACAGTATCTATTTATTACACATTAAAAATTTNACACCCTGGCAGAGAAAAAAAATCCTTAGTTAATTAATTTTCATTATAGACAGCTTTATAAAAGTATAAAAGCTCTCATAAAGTATTTTTCTGAGGTCTGTCTTATCAGGTAAATTACTGTACACAGTGTATTTATTAATTTTCATTTTCATATAGTAAAGGCTCTATGCCTTCATAAAGGACGTACTTTTCCTTTGTTTAAGGGTATTTTGGCAGTTTATTCTCTGTTGTATTCTCAAGCAAACAATACATACAAGTACTGTACAGTACAGTATTTTCTGAGGAAACACGCGTACTTATTTTTTTTTAACCCCATTCCCGATAACCCGGCATTTTCACAAACTCGGTCACCCTTCGGTCTACATTAGGCCGAGTTTTCGAGGCTCTACTGTATTTCCTTTTTTACAATTTTGAATAACAAGGGTCACCAAATAACAATGCCATACAAAACGCATTGAACGTTTCACTTACTTTTTCACGTTGCATTTATAGAATTAATGGTCCAAATTTTAAATTCACTTTGTAAATTTTGAAAATTTATAACCAAGAATGCACTACAATAATGTAAAATTTGGTAATTGTTCTTTCAGATTGTCATATTGCGACTATAGTTTAGCATGAAAATTGCAACAAAAAGAATTTAACATTATTTCTTTTCAAATGTAAAGTGCATAATTAAAGAAACTTTTTCAGGGTACAATTTCTGAGTGAATTTCGTAAATTGTTATTTGAATACTTTTTAAAAATCTGAGACGTACAAATTAAATAAAAAGAGTTTTATTTAAGTGTTAAATGAAAAACAATGAAAGCGCTCTAAATTAGTGTTTCTTAAAGTTTTTGGTCCGCGAGTACCCTTTTGCATTCCAAAATTTCAAAGGACCCTTTAACGAAGGTGTATGTGTGGAAAAAACATTTCGAAAGTGAGAATTAATTTAAATTCAAAAGGAGTTTATTTCTTTTGTTTAATTGCATTGAAACACTTATAATTTTAACAGCAAATTTATTTTTAGTGTCATTAAAAATTAATAACTTATTTTCGGTACATCTTTAAAATATTTTATGTATATGTTTCGACATTAGTAATCTCAATTAGTTAACATAAACATATTTTAAATTAAATTTAATGTGATGGGTGAGCCTGCTTATTTTGGCGCAATAAATTAAACATGGTTTTAATATTAGTCAGTAAAAATCTAATAGCGATTTCTATGTTTCAAAGACAGGAGTGCTGCAGTCCATTACTGAAAATGCCATTTCGCATAAATAACTGGTTGGAAATGGTAAGAGCCATTGCTAATCCAAACAGTATTGGATACTCTGCTTTTACACCAAGCCAAAAAGTATCTAATATTATTTCTAAACATGAATCCAAAGTACATTTATAAAATATTTGAAAACAAACTGATCTGTCATTAATTTTTCTGCAACCACCCAAATATTTTACCTGACCCTCCCTGGGAGTCTTGACCCCCACTTTGATAATCACTGCTCTAAATTAAACGGCGCTATTATAGTAACAGCGTTGAGGAAAAGTTTCAAAATTGCAGCCTGTTGATTACTTACATTATATTTCCGTTTTGGCCACATCTATTAATGATTGAAGTCTGAATTGCTTTGAATATATTCATATCAGATCATGATAAAGAAAATTTCTTTCAAAAGTACAATATATATGGTTCATTAAAGTGCTTTTTCTTTCGAAGAATTTTATCAATATATTTTATATTTTGAAGGTTTTCTATGTGCTTAAAAAAGTTTTACATAAAATGAAAGTTTTTCCATTTTAATATTAAATTAATTGATGTTAAATACCAATATGGTCAGTTGATATATTTAACAAAATCGTGGATTTTATTAGGTTTTCTATGTGCTTAAAAAAGTTTTACATAAAATGAAAGTTTTTCCATTTTAATATTAAATTAATTGATGTTAAATACCAATATGGTCAGTTTTTATATTTCACAAAATCGTGGATTTTACAGATAAACTTGTACTCTTCACTTTCATTGATATCATTGTAATATTTTAATGGATTTTTATTGTAATCAAACTCTGACCCAATACGACTATATGTTTAATACTCAGAATTATCATATAAATTCAAAATATTATAATATAAGCATTTATGCGAAAAGGTAAGGATAAGGGAAAACAATTTTTGTTCCATTAAAATAACATGGAGTTGATATTTGACAAACAATATTTTCAGTTCTATGTCGAATTTTCAAATGCAACCTCCAGCACGACATGCCGTTATATTACATTTATTTACAGAAAAATAAATTTGAATACAGATTTGTCCAAAAGAAACCATTAAAAATAGAATAAATGATGTCATATTTTAACCCAGCAGTTCAATACATAAATTAAACAATATCATCAGTGCCTGTTTTATAGATAAAAAGGTTTATATCTCCCTGAAGGTTAATTTGTCAGCCAAAATTCTATAAGTTGATTAGTTTTAAAAAAATTATTTAAAATACTCATTAAAAGTTAGTAACATTAACAATAGTGGGAACTTCAACACGGTGAAACGACCGTAATGCAGTGAAAGTGTTAAACACCCTTATTAGCGATGTTGCGGCCGAATTTTTCATCTCTTAAACGTGAACATCGAACGTCGAGTTCCGCTATCTTGTAAGCAGCGCTCGACGTTCGATGTTCACGTTTAATTAAGAGATGGAAACTTCGGGCACAACCTTTCTGTTGAAAATTGCAAGTAACGTCAGGTGGTATGAATTAAATTAATCACTTTAGTTTAATGCACAGCATATACAATATTTTAAACTGACTACTTTAGTAAAATTCTTTTATATTTATTTATTTAGACATACTGGGAAGAACCCATGATGCGGAGAATACAAAACTCATTACATATACATTACAAAACAAAGAAATATTACAATCCATAAGTTATTACAAAGAAAATTAACATATACCTAAAAAATTATACAAAGTTAAAGTTATACAAAAAATATAATTTATATAAAAAAAAATATTTAAACAAAAAATCCAGATATAAAAGAACACAAAATAATGGGAACAATTATCCAAAATAAAACAACATTATGTACAAAAATTAATTACACCCGCCTATAAAAAATAAGATTAAGTCATTTCGTGAAAATGTGGATAGTCTCCCAAAACTTCTTAGCCACGAACGCACTTTTAAAGCAAAAAAAAAAACCAAATGCCATCTTTTCGCAAAATCGAATACTCCAATATGCAAAACCAAACAAAAATGTACGTCACACCCCGTACAAAGGTTCACAAAATTCTCAAACGGAATAATAGAGATACCAAAANCTTAGCCACGAACGCACTTTTAAAGCAAAAAAAAAAACCAAATGCCATCTTTTCGCAAAATCGAATACTCCAATATGCAAAACCAAACAAAAATGTACGTCACACCCCGTACAAAGGTTCACAAAATTCTCAAACGGAATAATAGAGATACCAAAAGCACGTTCACGAATTGTTTCTAAATTAGTAGACATAGGTATCACGCGAAAAGCATCCAATAGCTAATCACCCTGATAACATATACAAATTTTTCTACGATAATTCTATAAGAGAAAAAACATAAAGTTCTCTCGTCAAAATGTGGATAGTCTCCACAAATTCTTTTATATAATCTATGGGTCAATGTTTTCTATAGTTTTTAGAACGTAATTTGTGAAATTATAATCAGAAACGGTGCTTCAAAGTGTTTTCTTTCGGGACACATTTTAAGTTAATAATAATTTTAATTGATTTTTTAAACTCGTTTTATGCTAACAAATATGTCATTCTGACCGAACGATTGCCAAATTGACATTATTGCAGTGCGTTGTTGGTTTTTTATTATACAAAATTTATAGTGGATTTTAAAATCTGTTATTATTTTTTTTAAATGCAATCAGATAAGGTAAGTAAAATGTTAAATATGTTTTTAGAGATTTTACTTATATTCCAAATTGTAACAAGAGAAAAATTTTAAAATTTCAATATAATAACGAAAAAATACATATATATTACTATTATGTTTTGATATACCTAGAAAATATTTCTGAAAAAATTAATGATTAAATAAATAATTTGTAATCATTTAGTAAAACGTATATTTGTTTTTAAAGGATAAAAACAGAACACATCAGTGTACTGTATGTAGAAAAACAGTTCGTTCAAAATCACTGCTAGATAAGCACATGAGAAGTCACAACCGTGACTTCTTATGTGATCATCTAACAGCACTTTTAAACCCCATAAAAGTCCTCCCTTTTGGGAGGACTTTTATGGGGTTCAAAAGTCCTCCCTTTTGGGAGGACGTTTATGGGGAACTGGCTTCCTATTTAGTCGTTATCGGCAAGCAGAAAACCCGGAAAACTCCAAGCAGCCAGCCTGTCCGATCGCGGTGCGAACCCACGACCGAACTCGCAGTGTTTAGGGTACGAAGACCGCTCGGCCACTGGTCGACACATAAACATTATATAAAATGAAATACATCGATTTTATTAAATTAAAGTTTAAATTATATTTCGATAAATTACATAATAAATTAATTAATCATTATAAAAAATGGTAATTTTCAGTGAAAAATTAAGAAACTAATCGCTATATCATATTTGTAAATATCGTAAATATTAATTATCAAATAAGTTTTTTTTCTATAACCTTTATGTAAGATTTATAGAAAATATAAAAAAGACACACAAGATTTATTAAAANTTTTTAACAATGCTGCTATATGTAGGGAGTAAAGGGACACTTTGACTAGTTTTATCTTCAATTCTTTCTAATTTTTCAAGTACAGCTCTCTGTACATCCATGTTATCCTTAGGTAGGGATAGACATGCAGTCTTTTCCTCAATCTCCTTCAGTTTCTCTATTACGGCCTTTTGATTGTTTATAATATTAGCAGCTG